AGTGGATCTGTGGATTAAATGAGCATATTAGTCCTATTCTGTAGAAGGAAATTAGGGCATAGAGTAGCAGAACTACTTGCCTGAACGGATAAAGTATTAAACTGCACCTCTGGGATCCCTGCCTTGCTACTAATACCTGTCTCGTAGCCTACCTGCCACCTCTCCCACCCCAGGGGCAGAGAGTCAACCTTTCCAGGGTGCGGTGGGGCAGAGCTCACAGCAGCGACTCTGCACTCTGCACATAGCTCAGACTCTCAATCTTGGTTCCGCTCTTAAGACTAGGTACCCACCCTCTTCCCCATAAGACTAGGCCAGGCTGGGTTCCTTCCAGCTCGAGGAAGCCGTCTTAGGAACTAGGAACTGGGCCCCACACAGGGGCCTGGGCCCTGAGCTTCACATAACATCTCCTTTAACTTGTACCACGCCTATGGTGATCTGGGTTTGCAGTCCCATTTTACTGCTGAAGAGATCCAGAGGCGATCACAGCTCTTAATCGGCATTTGAATCCAAGCTGACTGTTGACAAGATGTGGGCGCTGCCTTGCAAGGCCAGATTTCTGGATGTAGGGCATCCTGGGATTTGCAAAGGACAAACAGCATTCCCTAACCCTCGGAAACCGCCTTGCGCGCAAGGGAGGAGAGAGCAGGCAGAGTATGTGATAATACCGCCACCGCGTGGCAATGATGCGCAACTACAGGGTCAGTTTCCCAAGCCGGAGCCTGGAGAAGGGATGGGGATTGAGGGGAGGAAAAAAGGTCAGAGCACACCAACACAGACTCACACCTGTCCCTAATACTTTATTGGTCACCTTTAGGCCTGTGTGCGGCTGGGTGGGCTCGGGGGAGGGCGTCACTATTCAGCTCCCAGGTGGAGGCATGGGAGGGCGTGGGCCTAGCCCTCCAGGGCTCCAGACTGTGGAGTTTGGAGGGGCAAGTCTGGCCTTTCCTGGGTCAGCACAGGGCACCCAGGTGGGGGCACAGGTGGGCACCCAGCACAGGCACCTAGGTAGGGGCGCGAGCTTACTATCCGTTGGCCAGCCTAATTGTGTTTGGAGAAATATTCCTTGCTGTCATCCACGTTGGGCTTAATCGTGTCACTGCCAGGCTTCCAGCCAGCGGGACAAACTGTGGAAAGACACAAGGATGCACATGAAGGCTACAGCCCAAGGTTGAAGGTGAAGCAAAGCAAGAGCCTGCGTTGCAGAAGCAAATGCTGGAGGGAAGCAAGTAGTCCAGGGCCAGGAACATGCATATTAAGAGAAGCCCTCCAAGCCCAGTTCAGTATTTTTTTTTCTTTTTTTTTTTTTTTGAGACAGAGTCTTGCTCTGTTTCCCAGGCTGGAGTGCAGTGGCATCGTCTTGGTTCACTGCAACCTCTGCCTCCTGGGTTCCAGCAATTCTCATGCCCCAGGCTCCCAAGTAGCTGGGATTACATGTGTGCACCACCATGCCTGGCTAATTTTTGTATTTTTAGTAGAGACAGAGTTTCACCATGTGGTCCAGGATGGTCTCGATCTCCTGATCTCATGATCTACCCGCCTCAGCCTACCAAAGTTCTGGGATTACAGGCAGGAGCCACTGGCCCCAGTATTTTATTTTATTTTATTTGGAGATGGGGTTTCACCATATCAGCCAGGCTGGTCTCAAACTTCTGACCTCAGGTGATCCGCCTGCCTCGGTCTCCCAAAGTGCTGGGATTACAGGTGTGAGCCACTGCGCCTGGGCTTTCTTTTCTTTTTTTGAGATGGAGTCCTGCTCTGTCACCCAGGCTGGAGTGCAGTGCAGGCTGGAAGCACTGCAACCTCTGATTCCCCAGTAGCTGGGACTACAGGTGCCCACCACCATGACCTGCTAATTTTTTTGAATTTCTTTTTTTTTTTTTTTTTTTGAGACGGAGTTTCACTCTTGTTACCCAGGCTGGAGTGCAATGGCGCGATCTCGGCTCACCGCAACCTCCGTCTCCTGGGTTCAGGCAATTCTCCTGCCTCAGCCTCCTGAGTAGCTGGGATTACAGGCACGCGCCACCATGCCCAGCTGATTTTTTGTATTTTTAGTAGAGACGGGGTTTCACCATGTTGACCAGGATGGTCTCGATCTCTTGACCTCGTGATCCACCCGCCTCGGCCTCCCAAAGTGCTGGGATTACAGGCTTGAGCCACCGCGCCCGGCCCGGCCGATTTTTTTGTATTTTTAGTGGAGATGGGGTTTCACTATATTGGTCAGGCTGACCTCGAACTCCTGACCTCAGGTGATCCACCCACCTTGGCCTTCCAAAGTGCTGGGATTACAGGCATTAGCCACTGTGCCTGGCCAAGTTTAGTATTTTCTAGTTGGTGTTTTTCCTGCTCTAATTCTTAAGTTTCTTTTTGTCACCCACCTGTCCTTTTTCCTTTTTTCTTTTTTTTTTTTTTTTTTTGGGGGGGGGGTTGGAGTTTTGCTTCTTGTTGCCCATGCTGGAGTGCAATAGTGCAATCTTGGCTCACTGCAATCTCCATCTCCCGGGTTCAAGCAATACTCCTGCCTTAGCCTCCTGAATAGCTGGGATTACAGGTGCCCATCACCACGCCCAGCTAATTTTTTGTATTTTTAGTTTCACCATGTTGATCAGGCTGGTCTCAAACTCCTGACCTCAGGTGATTCACCCACCAGAGCCTCCTACAGTGCTGGGATCACAGGCATGAGCCACCATGCCAATATGCCTGACCATTTTGTTAACCTTGGTTGAATGTCAGGGGTATCTCTCCTACCACAGTAGAAACGTCCTGCAGGCAAAGCCCTGAGCTGAATCTTCTGTGGGGTGCTAATACCCATCTGTACAGGTAAGAGGACAGGCAGTGAATGTTTGCATGAGTGACAGAGGTGCTGAGTATGTACCCAGTATGTCATGTGTGCACACATGTATGAATGTGTGTGTCCACTCACCTTCCCCATGCTCGTCCGTGTACTGGAAGGCCTGGACCAATCGAAGAGCCTCATCCACGGAGCGTCCCACAGGCAAATCATTAACAGTGATCTGGCGAAGGACACCCTTGCCATCGATGACAAAGAGACCCCTGAAGACATCAGGGTTCCCAGTGAGGAGCTGGGAGCTCCCACTGCCAGAGACAAGGAAGGGACTACCAACCACCCGCTGCCAACCACAGGGCTGGGGGCAGAGAATACATTGCACAGGAGTGGTCCCAGCATCATGGGTATGGGGGCTCCCTGTGCCAGGCTGAGGATCTGACAGTACCTGTAGGCAATGCCCTCATCTGTTTTCAGCACGCCATAATCCTCAGACAAGCGTCTGGTCACATCAGCAAGCAGGGGGATGTTCAGGGGGCCCAAGCCTCCCTCCTTTCTGGGGGTGTTGATCCTGGGAGGAGGAGAGACAGAGTTGGGGCCTCAGGATGCCTGGCACAGTAGCGTCCTCACCCTGTGGGTCCAATGTGATAAGCACTGGAGGCCAGAGATAAGGGGCTTTAGAGTAGGCCACTGGGAGCCCCACCCACCCCATCCTGGGTTGTGTGTGAGGACTGTATGCCCACAGCTGGGAAAACTAAGCTTAAGAGGCAAAGCTCCAGCTAAGTGGCTTCACATGTGCTTGTAACTTGCAGCATCAGCCAGCGGAGAGCCCAGCCCGTGTTGAGTTCCCCTCCTCCTCTAACTTTGTCCTGGGGAACAGCCCGTCCCTTAGGTGAAGTGGAGTTTCCTTCTTCATGAAATAGGGCAGCACAGCCTCCCTACTGGGAACTAAGTAGATAAAGCATCTGCAACTCTGTATGCCAGGCAACTAGTTGCCAGTGCTAACTACTCTCATCATCCTTAAAGACTTGGGCGGCAATATTTCCATTATTTTCAAGATGGGGAAATGCAAGTTCCAGAGGTTGAGCAATGGCCACGAAGCCACGCGGCTCTGACCCGAGGGTGTGAGCTTAGCTGCAGCCTCTCTCTTTGGCCCCTGCTCATACCAAGCCAGGTGGGTGAACTGAGAGTCCACCGAGACGCCCAGCACTTCACAGCCCAGCTTGCGGAAGTCCTCGGCACGGTTGCTGAACGCGATGATCTCCGTGGGGCACACAAAAGTGAAGTCCAGAGGGTAGAAAAACAGGACCACGTACTTCCCTGGGGAGGAGGGACAAAGAGGAGTTAGAGCCCAGCCTCTCTCATTGCACAGCCCCGTCCCTACCTGGGCGCCCTCTGGGTCGCGCTCACCTTTGTAGTCCGATAGCTTCACCTCTTTGAAGGCGCCATCCACCACGGCTGTGGCCTTGAAGTCAGGGGCAGGCTTTCCGATGCGCGCGTTACCGGAGGCCATGACTGAAAGCTGAGACCCCTGCCCTGTCAGTGCGCCCGGGAAGACCCTTTGCCCTCCCTCCCCAAGGTCGCGCTGCGTGCTAGGCCCCGTGACTGAGTCAGCACGGCGGAGGCGACAGCACTAACCCTCACCCTCCCGAGTACAGGATCTACGCGGTCCGGAGGCTGCCGGAGACCCGCACTGTTGATCAGAGCACGAGTGACCCAGCCACTGCACCGGCACCCCAATAGCGAGCCGGCTGGAGCTTGGTGTCCCAAGCCCCCAGTCCAGAAGGAGACAGTGAGGCCCCCACGAGCAGGGGGTGGGGAGCCGGGCGATCCGGCCTGCGCTGCAAGGCCGTGGCCTCGGTTTCCCCCGCATGGACAAAGGAGGCCACTACGGCGGAAGGAAAACAAAGGCGCCCAGCACTGAGGTCAGGATCAGGCCAAAGCGGCTTGAAGGGGGTCCCCCCGCCAGGTGCACTCTGGGTGTCCATACCTGCGTGGGCAAAGGCTAGCCGCACGAATGATCACACGTGTGGACCTGCGTTCTCAGCGCCAAGTGAGCCCTGGGCTGCGAAGCCTTTTATGCCCGGCCCGAACCAAGACGTGCAGGGCGCGGGGGAGGGAGCGAACGAGCGGAGCGGTCGGGCCCACTGATCCCATAGGTGCGGGGGAGTGTGTGGCCCGGTCCATGCGCCTGCGGGCAGCGGGGGGAGACGCGTTGCCTTCGGCCGGAACCACTGCACCAGCCCGCGGGGGTAAGGCGGCAGTCGCCGACTCCGCGCTCCACTCAGCCTGGGAGCGCGCTGGGGGCCGTTGGAATCCGGCATGGCCCGGACCCCCGCGGCGCTAGTGCTGCCGCCTCTGCTACTCCTGCTGCTGGAGACTCCTGCGCAGGTCTACCAGGACTATCAGTACTTCGGCCAGCTGGGCGAAGGTGACACCTGGGAGCAGCTGAGGCTGCAGCATCTAAAGGGTAACTGCAAGGCGGCGGGGATGTCGATGCCCAAAGGCTCCTCGTTGCCCTACTTCTCCAGCTGGCTGCAAAGAAGCCTTCCTCCGCGGACTGCAAATCTCTAACCAGCTTCGCACTGGAGGCGTCCCTTTGGGCTGGTTACTTTTTTCTGAGGCTGGGTTTACTCTTGGATACATTGAAATAGATACAGTTTTAAAGCAGCTCACAGGGGAAGAGGGGGTGTGGGCAGGATACTGAAGCCACACATCCAGAAACCCTGGGATAGGTGCCAGGGAGGGCAGAGACAGAAAAAGAATGGGGCGGGCAAGCTTGGGAAGTCAGAGAGGGCCCGGTTTCAGAAGACAGGTGACCAGTGCAGCGAGAACGACAAGCAAAAGCCCCAAATGGAAAGATTTGGGGAAAGAGTGTCCAAGGAAGAGGAAATAGCAAGTGCCAAGGTGAAAAGGCCTGAAGGAGGGCCGGGCACGGTGGCTCATGTCAGTAATCCCAGCACTTTGGGAGGCCAAGGCGGGAGGATCACCTGAGGTCGGGAGTTCGAGACCAGCCTGACCAACGGGCATGTTGTTTTTTTTAGTAGAAGCCCCATCTCTACTAAAAATAAAAAATTAGCCAGGCGTGGTGACTCATGCCTGTAATCCCAGCTACTCCAGAGGCTGAGGCAGGAGAATTGCTTGAACCCGGGAGGCGGAGGTTGCAGTCAGCCAAGATCATGCGCACTCTAACCTGGGCAATAAGAGCAAAACATCGTCTCAAAAAAATAAATAAAAAATAAAAATACGGCCGGGCGCGGTGGCTAACGCTTGTAATCCCAGCACTTTGGGAGGCCCAGGCGGGTGGATCACGAGGTCAAGAGCTCGAGACCATCCTGGTCAACATGGTGAAACCCCGTCTCTACTAAAAATACAAAAAATTAGCTGGGCATGGTGGTGCATGCCTGTAATCCCAGCTACTCAGGAGGTTGAAGCAGGAGAATTGCCTGAACCCAGGAGACGGAGGTTGCGGTGAGCCGAGATCGCGCCATTGCACTCCAGCCTGGCTAACAAGAGCGAAACTCCGTCTCAAAAACTAACTAAATAAATAAATAAAAATAAAAAGAGAAAAAGAAAAGGCTTGAAGGAAAAATGGAAAGAGGTCAGTGAGGTGTGGCAGAGACATGGGTGTGGCAGGGTAGGAGGTGTCAGACCTTTCTGAGCGGTGAGATGGGATAAGATTGGAGTTGGGATAAGATCTGTCTCATAGGAAAAAGGGGCAGATTCAGTAAAGAGCCCTTTAAAGTGATCATAGTGGCCGACCCAGTAGCTCACGCTTGTAAACCTAGCACGTTGCAGGCTGAGGTGACAGGATCCCTTGGTCTTGGAGACCAGACCAGCCTGGCCCACATAGCAAGACTCCATCTCTACAAAATATATGTGTGTATGTGTGTGTGTGTGTGTGTGTGTGTGTGTGTGTGTGTTCCACCCCCTCTCCTACAAAAAATATATTTAAAAAATTAGCCTGACTTGATGGCCCAGGCTGGTAGTCCCAGCACTTTGGGAGGCCAAGGTGGGAGGACTGTTTGAGCCCAGGAGTTCAAGACGAGCCTGGGCAACATGGAGAGACCCTGTCTCTTAAAAAAAAAAAAAAGAAAAAAGTTAGCCTAGCATGGTGGCATGCACCTGTAGTCCCAGCAACTCAAGAGGCTGATACAGGAGGACCATTTCGCCAAGGAATTTGAGGCTGCAGTGAGCCATGAATATGCCCCTGCATTCCAACCTGGGTAACAGAGCAGGATCCTGTCGAAAAAAACAAAACAAAACAAAACCTGATCATAATAAATTGGTTTGTATATGCTAACACAGGGGCAGGAGCTTTAATTACCCTCATTATGTCAGTTATGCCATTTATCACTTGACAGTCCTGCTGGTCAGGTGGCATAATACCTGCTAGGTGGGGCCTTGGTCACACCCCTGAAGACAGAAGTCAGCTTCAGAAGCAAGGATCAAGGATTTTTTTTGTGTGTTTTTTGTTTGTTTGTTTGTTTTTGTTTTTGAGACGAAGTCTCGTGCTGTTGCCTGGGCTGGAGTGCAATGGTGAGATATCGGCTCACTGCAAATGCAACCTCTGCCTCCTGGGTTCACACGATTCTCCTGCCTCAGTCTCCCAAGTAGCTGGGATTACAGGCGCCCATGACTACACCCAGCTAATTTTTTGTGTATTTAGTAGAGACAGCATTTCACTGTGTTGGCGAGACTGCTCTTGAACTCCTGACCTCATGATCCACCCGCCTTGGCGTCTGGAAGTGCTGGGATTACAGGCATGAGCTACCGCGCCCGGCTGTCCCAAGGATGGTTTTTTTTTGAGACGGAGTTTCGCTCTTGTTACTCAGGCTGGAGTGCAATGGCGCGATCTCGGCTCACCGCAACCTCCGCCTCCTGGGTTCAGGCAATTCTCCTGCCTCAGCCTCCTGAGTAGCTGGGATTACAGGCATGCANCCACCATGCCCAGCTAATTTTTTGTAGTTTTAGTAGAGGCGGGGTTTCACCATGTTGACCGGGATGGTCTTGATCTCTTGACCTCGTGATCCACCCGCCTCAGCCTCCCAAAGTGCTGGGATTACAGGCTTGAGCCACCGCGCCCGGCCCAAGGATGTTTTAGCACACTCACAACTGGCCAGGCTGGCACAGCTTGGAAGCGTCAGGCTGTAGTTCTTCTGGACCACTTACCCCAGGTATGAGCTTGGAAGGTTGGTTTCCTGTCTCTGGGTCTTGGTTTCCCCACCTGAAACTCATAGAAAGATTAAGTGTGGGCATGGTAGCTGGCTCACACCTGTAATCCCAGCAATTTGGGAGGCTGAGGTGGGAGGATCACTTGAGCCCAGGGGTTCCAGACCAGCCTGGGCAACACAGTGAAACCCCATCTCTGCAAAAAATACAAAAAATTAGCCTGGTGTGGTGGCATGTAGTCCCAGCTACTTGGGAGGCTGAGGTAGGAGGATAGCTTAAGCCCAGGAGGTTGAGGCTGCAGTGGGCTATGACTGGACCTCTGTGTTCCAGCCTGGGCGACAGAGCAAGACCCTGTCTCAAAAAAAAAAAAAAAAAATTACATCAGATAATCTGTGTCAGGGTGCCTGGCATACAGGCAGAATCTACTGGATATGCGCTTCTTTTATTTGTTAGTATCTTTTATCATTCTCCCACTCTGGGAGAGGGGATTGGGAGTAGGCCCCCTCTACATGGGTCTTTAGCTTTACCTTCTATCTCTAGAAGTCGAGGACTCGATCCTTGGCCCGTGGGGAAATTGGCGGTGTCTCTGCGACCAGGGCGAGCAGGAGCGCAGCCGCGAGGTGCTAGGCACAACGTCCGGCCCGGTTTTCATGAACCCGGAGAACCTGATCCAGATACGGCCCTGCCGGCAACGGGATTGTCCATCCTGCAAACCCTTCGACTGCGACTGGAGGCTCTGAGCCCAGGTGAGAGAGGGGCCCACGGGCGGCAGGGCCGGGTCAAACCCTAAGCCGCGGGACCCAAGGTGGTTGGGGAGGGAGGCCTTTCGATGCGGGGCGCGTATGAGGCGAGTTTGGGGAAGGGAGAACTGAAGCTCCAGGACTTGAGTGACTTGAGGCTGATTTGGTTAGGGGGAAGCTGAGTCAGGAGCTGTGAGCCCCGTGGATAGCTAGGGAGGCGGAGGTGGCCGGATCGCTTGAGCCCAGGAGTTTGAAGCCAGCCTGAGCAACATATTGAGACCCTGTCTCTACAAAAAATAGTCGGGCCTGGTGGTGTGTGGTGTGCACCTGTAGTCAAGCTGTTTGGGAGACTGAGGTGGGAGGATAGCTTCAGCCCAGGAGGTGGAGGTTGCACTGAGCCAAGATCGCGCCCCAGCACTCCAGCCTGGGCAACAGAGGGAGATCCCGTCTCAAAAAAAACAAAACAAAACAAAACAAAAAACAAAAAAGACGGAGACAGGCCGAGAGGTGGGGTAGGGGACATTCATCCTAAGTTGGAAGGAGTGAGCTTCCATGGTGGGCAGAGACCCTGAGCAGGAGTCGACTGAGGTCTGGGATCTCCATTGAGGGTGGGGAAGGCTTGGCCTGAATAAGAGAGAGGATACGAAGCAGAAATGTTGAAGAGAGTTCGGGTGGGCCAGAGGGAGCAACTAAGGGAGGGAGTTTGGGGACTCCAAATCCAAAGGCCTGAGCCCAGTGGAAGCGGGGCTACCTGGTACAGGGGACTTAGAATGTGTGCAGAAAAAGGGACCGCACTCGCGGAATCCAGGTGGGGATTCAGTGATCATCCCCAGTCACGCGAGGACCGGTGTCCTGGGAGTGGAGTGATACTTGACCCTCTAGTTCCTCATTAGGCTGGGTCTTCCAAGCTGCGCCTCAGTTTCCCTTTTATTTCCCTCTCTTCCCACTGGCTAATGCAGGCAGGGCCCCAGAGACCGTGAAGCAGAGCTTGCAAAGCGACCCAGTCCAACGAATTCACCACACTTAAAGCGCTCGGCTATAACCCTTCAGGACTACAATTCCCAGGGGGGCGCGCAGCAGCGACGTCGGCGTCGGCTGCGTAAGCGTCTACGGCGGCAGGAGCGTCTCAGGGGCGTGTTCTGCGCGCGGATTGGCCGGAAACAGGCGCCGCCGCGAGGCTCGCGGAAAACGCGCGCTGAGATCTGGTCCTGCGGCCTTGGTTCTTGCAGCTGGTGGCGGCTGCCGAGGCGGCATGGATCTCAGCGAGCTGGAGAGGGACAATACGGGCCGTTGTCGCCTGAGTTCGCCTGTGCCTGCACTGTGCCGCAAGGAGCCTTGCGTGCTGGGCGTCGATGAGGCGGGCCGGGGCCCGGTGCTGGGTGCGCCCCTAGGGCCAGAGAGGGGAGGAGCGTGGTACGCGGGATGCAGGAAACGGGAGTAGGGACTGTACCGCACCTGGGGAGGGGACGTGGTAGTGGTGATAGCTCCCAAAGAGGTGATGATAGAACAGGGATGAATGGCAACGTTCACGGGCTCCGCGATTGGACCCCGGCTCCCAGAAATTTGACACCCTTCCTCCCCAGGCCCCATGGTCTACGCAATCTGTTATTGTCCCCTGTCCCGCCTGGCAGATCTGGAGGCCCTGAAAGTGGCAGGTGAGCCCGGGGTGTGCGTCTGGGAAGGGATTCCTGGGTATGTGTAGGGGCACGTGAAAACTGGAGGGGAGGGCAGGAACTGGGAGAAACAGCCATTCCTCTTTTCTTTCCCAGACTCAAAGACCCTATCGGAGAGCGAGCGGGAAAGGCTTTTTGCGAAAATGCAGGAGGACAGGGACTTTGTGGGCTGGGCACTGGACGTGCTGTCTCCAAACCTCATCTCTACCAGCATGCTTGGGCGGTGAGGGGTCCCCGGGAGGGGCTGTGGGAGAGGGGCAGCCAGCATGGTCTGGCTGGGCTTTGTTCCTAGAATGAGGTTAACTGGGCTCTGTCCCCCACCACAGGGTCAAATACAATCTGAACTCCCTGTCCCATGATACAGCCACTGGGCTTATACAGTACGCATTGGACCAGGGCGTGAACGTCACTCAGGTGAGCTAACTGTTGAGTTGTCTCCATTTGGTCACCTCAGGATCAAATGGGGTCAAAACAGGAGTTCAGGACTTCAGTGAGCCATGATCATGCCACAGCACTCCATCCTGGGTGACAGAGGAAGACCTCCAACTAAAAAGTAAAAATGGAGGCCAGGTGTAGGGGCTCATGCCTATAATCGCAGCACTTTGGGAGGCTGAGGCGGGTGGATCACCTGAGGTCAGGAGTTCGAGACCAGCCTGACCAACATGGCGAAACTCCATATCTACAAAAATACAAAAAATTAGCTCAGGATGGTGGTGGGTGCCTGTAATCCCACCTACTGGGGAGGCTGAGGTGGGAGAATCACTTGGAACTCGGGAATTGGAGGTTGCACTGAGCCAAGATTGAGCCATTGCATTCCAGCCTGGTCAACAGAGCACGAAATGAAAATTTTAAAAATAAAAATGGGGCAAAAACCTGGAATAGGCAGATCGGGCAACAGATACATCTGGAGTGCCTCAGGCATATTCATTGCTACTGTTGATTTCATGCTTCTGTTCTTACCCTAAATGTATGGCTCACTAGGACCACAGTGTAGTCCCTATTCCCATCTCCATTTAATCTCTCTCTCATCCTAAAGGCTCAGTCTCCACGTGTCTGCCTGCCTACTCTCTCTGTCCTAGCCCAGGACAGCCCCATTCCCTGGACACCTGCTGAGCTTCGTCTCTCATCCCCCACCCTCCTATCCCCTCTAGTCTGTTCCCTATACAGCAACAGAAGGTGGTCTTTTTGAAATGCACATCTCGACATTTAATTTTCCTATCACAGTGGAAATTAAATCAGGAAAATTCACAGTGGGGGAGAATTACATTAAATTACCAGAGAAAAATATAAATCAGCATTGCCTTGAGTGCTCTCAGGGAAAGAACAGACTGGTTTTGAGAGAATAACAAGACAAAATAACCTCAAGGTAGGAATTGTATGCTGAGTGTGGTGGCTCACACCTGTAATCCCAGCACTTTGGGAAGCTGAGGTGAGCAAATCCATTGAGGCCAGGAGTTCCAGACCAGCCTGGGCAACATAGCAGGTCTTTTGAAGACCCCTTCTCTACAAAAAGAAGAAATAAAGGAATTAGAGCAAAGGAGGCCTTGCTGAGGAGGGGTCTGAGGACTAGGCCCCAATGCAGAGCTGACCATGCAGTAACGGGTAGACAGACAAGGGTCCTGCCCATGAGGGTTCAGGGCTTAGCCTGAGCAGAAAGGTGGTCAGCTGGTTAAAAAAAAAAAAAAAAAATTAAGATGGTTTCTGAAAACAGTACTGCTGTGGAGACAGCAGTTTCCCCCAGCAGCTCCAGGACCCTCACTTCTCTGCTGCAGCCATAAGCCCCCATACATGGGTCAGCATGATGAACCTGGTCCCCACTCAGGGACTTTGTACTATCTGTTCTCACACCTAGAGCCTTCTTCCCCAGATCTTTTCACGGATTCACTTCCTCACGTCCTTCAAGCCTTTATTCACTGCTGTGCCTAGCTAATTTTTTATTTTTCATAGAAACAGGGTCTCCATATGTTGTTCCAGGTTGGTCTTGAACACCTGCCCTCAAGCAAGCCTCCCGCTTTGGCCCCCTAAAGTGTTATGATTATGGGCATGTGCCAACACACCCTGCCGGTTTTCTTCTAGTGTGTTTGTTACCACCTTCTTGGTTCCTAGAATGGCATCTGGCATGCAGTAGGTGCTAAATAGGTGTAGAGTAGATGCAATGTGATCAGAGAAAGCCTCTTTAAGAGGTGATTATTTTTTCCTTTTTTTAAGATGGAGTTTCGTTTTGCTGTCATTTCCCAGGCTGGAGTGCAATGGTGCTCTCAGCTCACTGCACCTCCACCTCCTGAGTTCAAGCCATTTTCCTGCCTTAGCCTCCTGAATAGCTGGAATTACAGGCATACACCACCACTCCTGGCTAATTTTGTATTTTTAGTAGAGGTGGAGTTTCTTCATGTTGGTCAGGCTGATCTTCAATTCCTGACCTCAGGTGATCCTCCTGCCTTGGCCTCCCAAAGTGCTGAGATCATAGGCGTGAGCCATGATGCCTGGCCCTATAGATTGGCCTTTTGAGGTGCCTTTTCAGGTTTTTGCATTTCTGACAACTGGATGACCCCACCCACACTAGCGACTACTCTATGAGTCCTCACCCAGAAGCTGACCCAGCAACTGTTTTCCAAATCCCCATGATTGCATCCAAGTCACTGTGTTGGCCAGGCTGGTCTTGAACGTCTGAACTCCGGATCCACCCACCTCAGCCTCCCAAAGTGCTGGGATTACAAGTGTGAGCCACTGTTCCCAGCCTATTTATCTTTTGTCGAGGTGGAGTTTTGCTTTTGTTGCCCAGGCTGGAGTGCAGTGGCACTGCCGCAGCCTCCTGAGTAGCTGGGATTACAGGCATTTGCCACCACGCCCAGCTAATTTTGTATTTTTAGTAGAGACAGGGTTTCTTCATGTTGGTCAGGTTGGTCTCGAACTCCTGACCTCGGATGATCCTCCTGCCTCAGCCTCCCAAAGTTCTGGGATTTTTTTTCTTTGTTTTATTTTATGTTTCTGTAAAGATGGTGTCTCACTGTGTTACCCAGTCTGGTCTCAAACTTCCAGGCTGAAGTGATCCTCCTGCCTCAGCCTCCCAAAGTGATGGGACCACAGGCGTGAACCACTTTGCCTGGCCTGGGAGGAGATATTTAGTTGAAATCCTTGATAGGTCCAGCCTGGGGGCGAGCTGTGAGAAGAGGATTCTGGGTGGCAGGAAGAACGTGCCAGGGCTTTGAGGCTAGAGCATTGGTACAGTTGTTTGTTTTCAGATGTCGTGTTCAATTAATATGTTTCTGTTGCCATGGCAGGTATTTGTGGACACCGTAGGCATGCCAGAGACATACCAGAAGCGGCTGCAGCAAAGTTTTCCCGGGATTGAGGTGACAGTCAAGGCCAAAGCAGATGCCCTCTACCCTGTGGTCAGTGCTGCCAGCATCTGTGCCAAGGTCAGTACCATACTACCCACTGCCAGCTTCCACCATCCCCCTGTATAGGGATCAGGCATGGCCACCACGGGGAAGGAGGGAGATTCCAGGTACCCGTCCTGCCCACAGGTGGCCCGGGACCAGGCCGTGAAGAACTGGCAGTTCGTGGAAAAACTGCAGGACCTGGATACTGATTATGGCTCAGGCTACCCCAATGGTGAGCAGGCAGTGACCCTGGTACTAATGTTGACATGGCCAGGGCTGAGCACGCTTCCGAGGTTTTCTTTTTTTCCTTTCATTTATAATTTTATTTTGTTTATTCTTTGTTTTTATAGAGGTGGGGTCTTGTCCCATTGTCCAGGCTGGTCTTGAACTTCTGGAGTCAGGCAGTCCTCCCACCTTGGTCTCCCAGAGTGTGCTGGGATTACAGATGTGAACCACCAATGTTTTTTTTTGTTTTTTTTGTTTTTAATAAAAAAGAGATGAGGTCTCCCTATGTTGCCCAGGCTGGTCTTGAATTCCTGGGCTTAAGTGATCCTCCTGTCTTGGACTCCCAGATAGCTAGGATTACAGGTGTGAACTGCTGTGCCTGGCTGCAGGTTTTCTAAATTGTTCTGGTCACCCCACTGCACGGTGGAAGAGGCCAAGTTCTAGACGGTGCTGCCATTTGTTCACAGCCACACAGCCAGTGAGTGATGGAGCTGGATTCCAGGCTATTGGATTCCTGCTCTCTTCCCCGATTCCCACTTTGCTGTCTCTCTGGAGCTCCAATGACTGACTGAGACCCCAGGTAGGCATCTGTCCCTTTGTTAAGGGGAGGAAGAACAGGTGTGGTGGCTCATACCAGTAATCCCAGCACTTGGGGAAGCTGAGGTAGGATAACCGCTTGAGTCCATGAGTACAAGACGAGGCTGGGCAACATCGCGAGACCCCCATCTCTATAAAATTTTTTAAAAAAATTAGCCAGTTATAGTGGTGCCCACCTGAACTCCCAGCTACTCAGAAAGCTAAGGTGAGTGGGTTGCTTGAGCCCAGGAGTTCGAGACTGCAGTGAGCTATGATTATGCCACTGCACTCCAGCCTGGGTGACAAGGTTAGACCATGTGTCAAAAAAAAATTTTTGGCTGGCTGGGTGTGGTGGCTCACGCCTGTAATCCAAACACTTTGGAGGCCAAGGCGGGTGGATCACCTGAGGTCAGGAGTTCAAGACCAGCCTGACCAACATGGTGAAACCCTGTCTTAAAAATAATAATAATAATTATTATTATTATTATTTTGGCCAGGCGCAGTGCCTGCAATCCCAGCACTTAGGGAGGCCAAGGCAGGTGGATCACTTAAGGTCAGGAGTTCAAGACCAGCCTCACCAACATGGTAAAACTCTGTCTGTACTAAAATTACAAAATTAGCTGGACGTGGTGGCACACACCTGTAATCCCAGCTACTCAGAAGGCTAAGGTAGGAGAATCGCTTGAACCCGTGAAGTGGAGGTTGCGGTGAGCAGCCTGGGTGACAGAGTGAGACTCTGCCTCAGAAAAAAAAAGAGTGGCAAGGAGCTTGGATGTTATGGTGCAACTTGGACTGTCACCGTTGCCCACCCTACCCCAGATCCCAAGACAAAAGTGTGGTTGAAGGAGCACGTGGAGCCTGTGTTCGGCTTCCCCCAGTTTGTCCGGTTCAGCTGGCGCACGGCCCAGACCATCCTGGAGAAAGAGGCAAAAGATGTTATATGGTGGGTATCATGGGTGTCTGGGGGGTGTTATAGGGAAGGAAGGAGGGAGGCTAGGGTTCAGCCCTGCCTGGGAGCGCTGCTCTCCCTAGATGTGGTCACTGTCATCACCTCTCTCCCACAGGGAGGACTCGGCACCAGAGGATCAGGAGGGACTTGGGAAGATCACATCCTACTTCCTTAATGAAGGGTCCGGAACCTGTCCCCGTGCTTCCCACCGGTATTTCCTGGAGCGTGGCCTGGAGTCAGCAACCAGCCTCTAGCAGCTGCCTCTCCTTGCTCTACCTGTCTCCCTGACCCAGACATTAAAGTTGTTAAAGGAAAACCACACATAGGAGATGTACTTTTGGGGCAGAGCGAGGTGGCAGTGTGCTCTGCAGCTGGGTCCAGCTGCTGCGTTTTGGAACCTAATTAGAATGAGTGTTGGTTGATTGATTTGATTTGGTTTGATTTTTTTTTTTTTTTTAATTTTTAATTTTATTCATTAATTTAATTTAATTTTATTTTATTTTATTTATTTATTTATTTTTTGAGACGGAGTTTCACTCATGTTACCCAGGCTGGAGTGCAATGGCGCGATCTCGGCTCACCGCAACCTCCGTCTCCTGGGTTCAGGCAATTCTCCTGCCTCAGCCTCCTGAGTAGCTGGGATTACAGGCACGCATCACCATGCCCAGCTAATTTTTTGTATTTTTAGTAGGGACGGGGTTTCACCATGTTGACCAGGATGGTCTCGATCTCCTGGCCTCGTGATCCACCCGCCTCGGCCTCCCAAAGTGCTGGGTTTACAGGCTTGAGCCACCGCGCCCGGCATCTGGCTAATTTTTTAAAAAAAATTTTGTCCAGGCGCAGTGGCTCATGTCTGTAATCCCAACACTTTGAGAGGCCGAGGCAGGCAGATCACCTGAGGTCAGGAGTTTGAGAACAGCCTGGCCAACATGGTGAGACACACCTGGCCAACGTGGTGACACCCCCGTCTGTTCTACAAACAAAAATTAGCTGGGTGTCATGGTGGTCGCCTGTAATCCCAGCTACTCAGGAAGCTTACGCAGGAGAATCGCTTGAACCTGAGAGGCAGAAGTTACAATGAGCTGACATTGTGTTATTTCACTCCAGCCTGGGCGACAGAGCAAGAGACTCCATCTCAAAAAGAAATTTGTTTTAAAAGATGGGGGTTTTGCTGTGTTGCACAGTTTGCTCTGAAACTCCAGGGTCCAAAAGATCCTCCCACTGCAGCCTCCCAAAGTGTTGGGATTACAGGCATGAGCCTCGGTGCCCAGCCATGTGTCCTAATTTCTTATAATCATTGGATTAGAGCTCACAAATATGACCTCATGTTACCGTAATTATCTCTTTCAACATGCCGTCTCCAAATACAGTCACATTTTGAGGTACTAGGAGTTACGACTTGAACATATGAATGTGGGGAGACCCATTCAACCCATAACATAGCACTTCTTCACTCCATGCAACTTTATTTTGGAGATGAGGTCTGGCTATGGTGCCCATGCTGTTTCCGAACTCCTGGCCTCAAGCAATACATTCACCTCAGCCACCCAAGTAACAGACTGCCAAACCTTGTATCACACACACTCTCTTTTTTTTTCTGAGACATGGTCCCCGTTGCCCCAGCTGGAGGGCAGCAGTGCCTCCACCTCCTAGGCTGAAGCAATCCTCCCACCTCAGCCTCCCAAGTAGCTGGGACTGCAAGTGTGCACCACCATGCCTGGCTATTTTTTATTTTTAGTAGAGATGGGGTTTCACCTTGTTGCCCAGGCTGGGTCTCAAACTCCTGATCTCAATGTACCTGCCTCAGCCTTCCAAAGTACTAGAATTACAGGTGTGAGCCACCATGCCTGGTACATCACACTCTATCCTTAGGTTCCAGTGCCTTTGCCTGGCATCCAGTGTCTTCCAGGACCAGACCCCATTTCCCATACTGTATCCTAGGCCTCCTGAGAAGCTCGGAGTTCCCAGGACATGTAATCTCTAGGCCTTTGACTTGGAATGCCCTCCATGGCTTTATTATCTGACTGGAGATCCTTCAAAGACTTGCTTTATTTTTCTTCCTTGAATGTTTGCTCCGCCTTGTCACAATTACACAGTCTATAACATCAATAACAGTACCTAACAGCCATAAGAAGCAATCATAATAGATGGTGTCTACATTCTTTGATAATTATGTGCCACACTTTCTAAGCATTTTATTTGACATCCCTCCCATTGGAGGTGGAGTCTGTGATGCCTCTTTTTGAATATGAACTGGCTTCAGTGACTCACTGTAGTGAATAGAAAGTGAAAGATGTGACACTGTGAGTTCCAGGGTTAAGTCATCAAAAGTGAAACAGCTTCCACCTGGCTTTCTCTCTTGGGACATTTCCCTTAGAACTTAACTGCCATGTTGAGAGGAAGCCCAAGCCACAGAGAGGCTGTGTGCAGATATTCTGCCCAACAGCCCGAGCAGAAGTTCAAGGCAACAGCCAATGCCTTGATATATCAGCAAGGAAGACTGCATGATTTCAGCCCCAGCCACTATCTCCAAGTGCATGACAGAGCTTCAGGAAGAACTGCCCAGCTGAACTGAGTCGAAGCCCAGAACTATGAAAATGTCTCACTCTGTTGCCCATCCATGCTGGAGTACAATGGCACGATCTTGACTCACTGCAACCTCTGCCTCCTGGGTTCAAGCGATTCTTCTGCCTCAGCCTCCCAAGTAGCTGGGATTACAGGCACGCACCGCCACTCCTGGTCATTCCCATCAAACTCTGTAGTCTGTATATGTATAATATGTTAGGAGGTCTTGGACAAGCTCTACTAAAAATACAAAAATTAGCCAGGTGTGGTGGTCTGCACCTGCAATCCCAGCTACCCTGGAGGCTGAGGCACAAAAATCACCCAGGAGGCAGAGTTTGCAGTGAGCCAAGATTGCACCACTGCACTTCAGCCTAGGAGACAAAGCCAGACTGTGTCTGGGGGAAAAAAAAAGCCAGGTGCAGTGGCTCACCCATGTAATCTTAGCACTTAGGGAGGCTGAGGCGGTGGATCACCTGAAGTCAGGAGTTTGAGACCAGCCTGACCAACATGGTGAAACCCCGTCTCTATTTAAAAATACAAAAAATTAGCCAGATGTGGTGGCAGGTGCCTATAATCTCAGCTACTAGTGAGGCTGAGGTCCTGCCATTGGACTCCAGCCTGGGCGACAAGAGTGAAACTCAGTCTCAAAAAAAAAAAAAAAAAGTTGGGGTCTGGCCTTTGCCCAGGCTGGAGTGCAGGATCATAGCTTACTGCAGCCTCAAATTTCTGGATTCGAGTGATCCTTTTACCTCAGCCTCCCAAGTAGTTGAGAGTACAGCACATACCACTATGCCCAGCTTGGTATTCAGTGTCTGCGTGTCTTATTATTTTTTTTTTTGAGACAGGGTCTCACTGTGTCACCAGGCTGGAATATAGTGGTGTGATTGTGGCTCACTGCAGCCCTGAACTTCTGAGCTCAAGTGATCCTCCTGCCTCAGCCTCCTGAGCAGCTAGGAGTACAGGCACCCACCACTATACTGGGCTAATTTTTCCTTCCCTTCCCCCATCTCCTCCCCCCTCCTCCCTTCCCCCTCCACCTTCCCCCCTTCCTCCTTCCCCCTTCCCCTTCCCCCTCCCTCCCTTCCTTCCTTCTCTCTCTCTTTTTTTCGAGACAGGTTCTCACTGTATTGCCGAGCCCAGTCTTGAACTCCTGGGCTCAAGCGATCCACCCACCTAGGCCTCTCAAATTGCTGGGATTACAGGCATGAGCCGCCGCACCTGGCCTTGAAGTTTGTCTTGAGGGCTATACAAGTTAGGCAGCTTCTTGGCAGCCTTGGTGGCACACAGTGGGAAGGAACTTCTCCTGCCCTTGTCAGCCCCTTTTCTGACCCCCTCTCCATTTCCAACACCTGGGTGTTCTGAGTTATGTTGACTGCTCTAGGGCACAAGCTATCCATCATTTACACTCTAGGATGAATCAGTTACTAATTCTAGGATCTGAGAATTAAACCTGAGACACCTGTTACTTTCTGACAATTCTCCTTCCCACTTATTTCCCCAAGAAGCAGCCACATCACATGCTCTAGCTGGAGACTTTATTCAAGAGGGAGAGGGAAAAGTGAGAGAGAGTTGGGTCATTTCTGGGATAAACTGGAGAGAGGTGAGTCTCTGGAGTTCCAGGGAGGGACACAAATCTGGAAACTATCAGAACGCCCAGAGGGAGAGGGGTGGGTTCTGGGTGTCTGAGGGGCGGGGCTGGGGGAAGGGACGCGCCGCCCACTCAGGGCCACGCGTCCACTAGGGACCGCTGCCGCTTCCACTGCCACTCCCGCTGCCCGCAGCGTCCAGGATGGAGTTGCGAGGGCGGCGGGAGCGCCGGGAGGGAGCTTCCCGGGCCCGCCGTCCTGGTCTGGGATGTGGTAGCGCGGAGATGGAGATGTTGAAGCAGTGACGGGCGCCAGGAGCAGCCACTGGTAGGGCGTGGCCCAGCGCCGAGCGACAAAGGTCCGTCCCATCTGCGAAGGTCTAGGGAAAAGGATGGCGTTAGGGCCCTTGTGGGCGGAGTCCAGAGACTTGGGGGGGGGGGCAGGTCTTCCTCCCAGGGGCGTGGCCTGTCAATTCCTTTGGGATTAGGATCAGCGCGGAAGCGTGTGGCCTGGGAGTCTGTGTGTGGGACCCGAGTGGGAGCAGGTCCCTGGGGGGTGGTGAAGGTTCTTACTGGGCCCTAGGGGGCTGAATCAGGGTTGAGGGCAGTGGGGGCGTGCGGAGAGGTCTGTATCTAGGCTGGGGTTTTATAGAGGGTGACTGGGCTCCTGGGTCCTCCAGGATGAACAGTGGATGGGCCCAGAGCAGGGACGGTTTCTTGGGAAGGGCAAATCTGGATTCTGAGAGCTTTTGGAGTCAACAGGCACAACCCAATACGGAGGCTGGCCTAGGTAAGGGTGTAAGCCGGGACCCGGGGAGTGCCAATCCGATCTCTGGGGTCTAGACACGATAAGAAAGAATTTGGTGAGGAGGCTGTCAGTCTCTTCCCTTCACCCTCTGCCCCACGCTCACCTGTCCATAGGTAAGGCAGCTGGGCTCACAACCCCTTTTTTCTGAGAGTGGGAGCCAAGTTGGGCCGCAGGTGATATCATCTTCGCAGTTGGCAAACCTGGAGAGAGCATGTGGAGAGATGGCTTTGTAGCTACGTTTCAGCGGGATTCCGGCTCTTCAGGACTGAGTTCAGTTTATGCTCCTCCCTCGGATCCAGGCCCAGCCTCTTAGAACCACTTCCCTACTAACCCCATCTCTCCAGATTTCACCCCGCCCCATATTCTACCAGATCTTTCTATACTCTGGGTTATGTCACAACTGGCCTCATCCCTGCAGACCTCAGACCATTTGTTCCAGGCCAACCCCTCATATTCCCTCACTGTTTCATTTTCCATTTATTTATTTATTTTTGAGACAGGGTCTCACTCTGTGACTCAAGCTGGAGTGCAGTGGCATGATCATGGCTTCTGGCAGCTTTGCCCTCCCAGGTTCCAACAATCCTTCTACCTCAGTGTCTCAAGTACCTGGGACTACAGGTGCACGCCATGATGTTCGCATAATTTTTTTTTTTTTTTTTTTTTTGAGACAGAGTCTCACTCTGTCGCCCAGGGTGGAGGGCAGTGGACAGATCTCTGCTCACTGCAACCTCTACCTTCCAGGTTCAAACAAGTCTCCTGCCTCAGCCTCCTGCATAGCTGGGATTACAGGTGCCTACGCCACACCCGGCTCATTTTTGTATTTTTAGTAGAGACAAGTTTTCATCATGTTGGCCAGGCTGATCTTGAACCCCTGATCTCAGGTGATCTGTCCGCCTTGGCCTCCCAAAGTGTTGGCATTACAGGCGTGAGCCACTGCATCTAGCCCATGTCTGATTAATTTTAAAATTTTTTGTTGATACTGGGTCTTGCCATGTTGCCCAAGCTGGTCTTGAACTCCAGGCCTCAACCAATCCTTGTGCCTTGACCTCTCCAACAACTGAGATTACAAGCACCTACCCTTTCATGTTCTCTTTTTTCTTTCTTTTTTTTTTTTCCTGCCCCCTCACGTTCTTTTTTCAATCAAGAGGACTCACCCCTTAAGAAATCTTAGGGCCTGGGCCGGGCGCAGTGGCTCAAGCCTGTAATCCCAGCACTTTGGGAGGCCGAGGCGGGTGGATCACGAGGTCAAGAGATCGAGACCATCCTGG